ATATTATGTTACCTTCTCGAAGTGCACTAATACTGTTATATCCAGAGCGGATATCGTCCACTCCCTTATTTATGGCAGGATATCAATTCCTCCTACTGCCCTCTCTGTCACTCATCATGGCTTCGACTTCAAGCGTCAGTCGAAACTGCTCTAGCCTTCCTTCCTTTTGTATCCACTTTGTAATTCTTGCAACATCTTTCGGGTTATTCATCATCGCTTCGAATGACCGATTATCTGCCTTTCTCAGTATCTCCCCTCTCCCTAAAGCCCAGTCGGGACAGGCCATGATCATATGCTTTGTGACGGAAACCGAGTTGGTGATGAATAAATTGATTTAATAAACCATATGAGGAAAAAAGCTAACTCAAATTACAACTAACAGGTATTTATAGGAGTTAATCCTCCTCGTGAATCTACAGACTAGTGACTTGTCCTTAGGCACAATACTTCTTACCCAGCCACGTATTTCCAGGTATCACTAAGTTGTAATAACGCTTCAGCCTCCTGAGTAGTAGTCCCGTTTTGTTCAGCTTCATCTCCCCCTCATACAGCCTCATTGTAAGGATTCTTAGTATCAGGCTTAGGTATCCACCTAAACTCAAACAACGGTCAAACCGTAACATGCTTGACGTTCTGGGACGGATATCCACATTGGCATCGTGGGCTGTCTACTCCGGGAACATGTCTTCTGTGCAGGTAAGAATTGATCTAAGAGGGGTTGTTAATGATGGATAAAGAGCCCCTCTATGCGTATTGTTGAGTGAAGACTCGTGAGAGGTAGTACTGAATTAGGAGAGCTGTATGGATGGCACAGGTATCCTTGGCCTGTAGGCAGAGAGGATGCGCATGCCCTGCGCATTTAAAGAATCAGACATTACAATAGACTCGCAAAAGTTTTTTGGTACACGGTTCGCTGCAACTTCCATGAATCGAACACAATCCTCCACCTTGGTGGGCTGTGGGAAGAGTAGAGGTGCTGCGACAGGCAAAAGATATATCTTTTGAAGCTATGACGACCAGCCCCAATTACATGAAAAGAATTACAGAGTGGAAACTTTCCAACCGCTATTTTGAACAGATCTAGCTTGCAAAAGCATTCGAGATAGAAGTTAATGAAAGGATGAAGCCATCTGGATAAGGATAAGACGGAATTAATACTGGATAAACAGCATAAAAGCACCTTTTGTATGAAAACCCTTAAAACGATAGATAAAAGACAGATAGAATCAGGGGATTTTCCTTGAATTGATTTCCTCCTATGCAAATACTGTAGCTATGTAAACCTGCTTGGATCTAAAGGGTAGCTGGACAGGATGATTGAAATCAATTTCAAATCGACAGACAGGCTACTGGTCTGGGTAATCAACAGTGTTTGTGGTGCAAATTATTTGAGCGTGTAAATTTTCTTGCCGAATGGGGGACGAAACTTGATACCTGCTAGTGGTAACCCCTACGAACCTTCAGCTCTCACTTTAGAGTCTGCAGAGCCAAGATTGAGTAACACATTTTAAACTTTGAGCTTTGTTATCTCCTCTTCCGTCATAGATACACTTCTGATAACACATAAGACGACAAAGATGACGATAACGATGCTAGGAATGAGGAGAGATAATGCAGTACCAAACGCTACAGCGGTAGTCAGAGAAGCCCTCGTTATATCACAACATGTACTACCTACCGGCGGGCAAACAAAAAGCCCACGAAAGCAAAGTAAAAGACCCTTCCGCCCTCGAGAAAAGCATATTTAGACTCGTCAAAAATATCGTCCCCTCCAATCTTAACTTCCGAGCATACTAACCAGGAGGGCGTCTGAAATACATGAGTTACTCGACAACCCTAAACCCGTAATGACTTTTGGATGCTAGGCTAGGCTCATTCACGACAGTCACTCTCGACCAAGACTTTGCTGATATACTATCACAACCTTCGATTTGTCCTGCGCCATCAATCAGAGAAGGAGTATGGAGGGGGCTAGGAAGGTTGAGAGACGCTCTTAGGTATACACTGGTCTGCTGCGCCCGGCTGGCCGGCCTCTTCGTCGTATGAGAGCCCCACACCCAGTGGTTTTTGAGACTTTTCCCTGCGGCTACACACCCGCAAATGGCCATTGTTTCGTAGGCTGCAGAGGGGAGATAATGACGGGATAACGGCTCCTCTTAGTGTGTACTTGAATGAAGACCTATGGGGTTATTACTGCTGGAAAGAAGTCGTGAAAGTGGCATAGAAGGGAGTACACTACCCGAGGCATAGATACTCCCAGTCTGTAGGGAGAAAAGACCTACTTGTCCTTACATAATTATAGACTCATTAGGACAACAAACACACACACTAAAACACCCTCTCTCTTGCTAAGTTACCATGAGAATCAGTGAGAAGTTCTGTAGTTTATGGGATTTTCCGCTAGGCCCTGTTGATCGACTCATGTTGACAAAAGTTGCATCAGGAAGTTGCACAAATCAATATTCATGGGTCTGGACTGGGATAGAGGAGAAAATTTGCGAATCTAGTAGGCACCTGCGGCCCAAGAGGATTGCCCGAGGGTGAGTCTCTTTTTCTCTCATAGGTTTGTGGTAGTTGAATTCAAGATCACTTTTCGTAATAAACTCCTCGCCTTTCGGCATTGTATTTGGGGTTTGCACCATAATTATATGTATACCATTTTCCAGAATCTGTCCGCCTGATTTCACGCTCACTTGATGAAGTAGAATGGTATCACCTTATTCATGTTGGTGGCAAAGTGTTGGTTCAATACCCAGTTATTTTGCATCTTTTAGACAAGAGTGCAGGTATTTTCTATGGAATTGGCCTTTTTTTCTGTCGTGATAATGAACCAATTGAACGTTGTGAATATATATGTAATTGATAGTATTTGGAGTACCAGCATATCTGCTTAGGTAAACAGCATGGATTTCATTTCAAGGACTTAATATGTATTCGTAGCCTTCGCTGTATAGAAAATAGAACTAAGTTTGTAATAATAAATTCGAATCAATAAACGCTATGAAAAAGAAAGAGAAACTTGATTTCAACTATGGGGTACTTCAAATATTTGGTAGACTCTGAGTTTTATTACTTATTCCTTTTCCCTAGGTCGAATACTTGGTGCACGGCTACGCATAGTGATTACAGATTACGCTGTAACATTGCTTCGATTCGGCGCGCCAAAAGGGGGTATACTGGACGTTTGGGCTTGACATAATTCAACACATGGGTGAAGTCTGAGGTGGTCAGGTCATTTAGGTGGGACGAGGTAGATGTACTTATTGGTAGTTAATCTGATCCAGCCCGACCTCACCCGTGCTTAAGCTCCAGTAGGAGTGCCATAGTTGTAATGCGCCTAGCACGTTAATTAATAAAAGAATAACGAAACGAATTGCTTCGATCTCTTGATTACTTATCTGTGTGTTTTTAGTCCTACTTGAGTCTATGACTATCTAGCACATTGGGCTCCTCTCTGAGCCAGGCTACACTTTGTACAATGCCCATATCCTCTTTTGCTACTTGAAAGATCATTGATGTATTGCCTGTGATGAATAGCCATTTAGCTCAGGGTTTACCCGTGGAATTCAGCCACCTTTTCCACGGAACCTTCTAGCCAAAAAAAAATGGTAGCAATGGAAACTGCGTGCGCGGGAAAAAGTCTCAAGAAAGCTGCAGCCCTAGCCAGGTGAGGCCTAGATACCGGGACCACATGAGGTGCGCATATTCATCTCCATCTCCCTTCTTTATATGAGAAGAGGCCGACTTGATGCAATTTACCATCTCTATATCGGATGATTTTTCCCTCATGATCATGGGCGGGTGGTGAGTAGGGCTTCGAGCCTACCGTCTGATCTGATCGTAGTTAGCTTCATGATAATGATGATAGGGGGATGTGTTGAGGGACGAAGAAGATGTAGACCGCGAAACCGATTGGGGATCCTAACCGAAGTAAGGACTGTGTTACTTAATCTCGGCTATGCAGACCCTGCAGTGAGGGCTGGAGGTTCGTGGGGGACACCGCTGACAGGTGTTGAGAATACACCCCCGCGCTACAAAGGAGTTTAAATAATAAACAAACTGTTGTGGACCACAAAAGAGTCCGATGTATAATGTAACTCGTGCACTTGTCTAATTGGTATACATTTTCATTCTGAAAAAAGCACTTTACTACAAATACTTAGGCTTAATCCCTGCTTCCAAAGCTTGAACAATGTGCCTGTCATCTTTATTCATGACTGCTGTGAATGCCGTCTCTATGTAAATGGCCATTTTGTGTCCAAGACAAAACAGAACATTTAGGTCCCATCTACCTGCAGGCCAAGGCAGTCAGCATTTCTTGCATGATACCAATCCTAAAACCTCTGTAAGAATTTAATCTACTCTACATACAATATGTATCTAATTAATATACATATTCGATTCAGTAGTTGTTAACCTTTTGAAAGGAGCCTTATTCCACATGCGTCATACGAACCGCGAAGATTACCAAGCGCGATGAGAAAATGTGTCAGGTGGATGCGCGCGATGCGCCAGGGGCCACATCAACTGAACTTGTCTCCATGACCTATGTCTTTCAGCAAACATACCTAAACTCTATCCCAACAGTCTCAGTTCTTCTCAGAAACAATCAGGCGAGAAATGATTGCACGGATTCTGTGCACATCCTTATTCCCCCCTCCACAGCAAGCGTCAGCATGATAAATTACTTGAGTATTGTGAAAAATAGCACGTTTCCGATTAAATCCTACGGCAGAAATTTCTGACAAGGTGAGAGACCTGATTTTTCCTATCGCAATCAGACTACTCGAAATTTCCACACAAATGCCGCGGCAGAGACCGGTTTGGTACTAGATCCACCTAATCGACAAGGATAAAGATTTGCAATGGGAAGTTTCAAATCAACGTCTTCGTCAGATTAACTGTGCTGGCGTTAGGGATCAGAACGCTCAAAATCTATTTACATTAACCCAGATGCTGTCCTTTTATTAATTTAGAACTGTGTCTTCTCTTAGGTGAACATGATCAAGCCCTTGATCCTCTTTATTGACGCTTACGACAGCTTCTCCAATAATATAATTTCTCTTATCGAGACAACTCTCGATGTCTCGGTCAGGACCGTACGAATAGATGACCCAATTCTCTCAGCCTCTGATCACGCTCTACGACAAGAACTACGTAATTATGTTGCGGTAGTGTGTGGCCCAGGCCCTGGAAACCCGGGAAACGAAAAAGACGTGGGTCTTATGAGACAAATATGGCGATTAAAAGAAGTTGACGTGGTGCCAACTCTCGGAATCTGCCTCGGGTTTCAAAGCCTCTGCCTCGAATTCGGTGGAAAAATCCAGAAGTTAAAAGGTCCTCAGCACGGAATGATTCGTAGAGTCACTCACGTTGGTGAGGTCAACAATGAAGAAACTATATTTCGCGGTGTTGGAAAGATCTATGCAACGCTATATCAAAGTCTCTGTGCTGATATAGGACATGCCCAGCTACAGGCTCGACAATGGGAGGTAGAGAAGTGGAACAGTACTAGTCAGTGTCCGGATCTCCTCCCCTTAGCATGGGTAGAGCACGACCATTCCCTCGTCAACGATTCTGGTATACAAGATGAGAAAGTCCTTGTAGCGATTCAACACACAAAAAGACCATACTGGGCACTGCAATACCACCCTGAGTCTATCTGTACCAATGATGAAAGCCAGAAACTTATTAAAAACTGGTTCAGGCACGCTAGCTCTTGGAACGTTCGGTTTAGGGAAAGGAATACAGTCGACCTGAACTCCTTGATAGGAAGCTCGGCAATCAAGGAAAGTCTTATGAGTTTGGCTGGACAAGTTGATCCATGTATAGATTTTATAAAAAATCACAACAGCGACGAAATTCAACTACCGAAGAAATGTGTGACAAAAACAATACAGCTCCCAACCGGAATGACGGTACCAGACATTGTTGAGTGTGTTCAAAATCCCTCTGCAGAAAATATTGTTTTGGAATCTTCCAACGCTCATGATTCCTCACCAGTGAAATCCAGGTTTAGCATTATTGGAATCGAAATCGAGAAATGTACACGAATAGAATATTTCGTCGGTCGACAGTTTATGAACTTGATAGTACCAAGGAATGACCATTCAGAACCTCAAGTACAAAAATACGAAAGGCAAAGTTTTGGTGGAATTTGGACATACATAGCTAATCAGCTAGCCAAAGTAAAAGCAATTTCTGGCAATGATGAGTCACCATTTTGGGGCGGATTCATGGGTTATACAACTTATGAACTCGGCCTAGAGACTATCCAAAAAAGCCATTACACAGAAAGCGAAAAGCAAGAAACCAAGCCCGACTTAAGTTTTGCCTGGGTCACTTCTAGTATCATCATCGACCACTTCAAAGGCCTTTTATATTTACAACAGCTTGTTGATGACTTTGAAACTGAACTTGCAGTGGCTCGAAACGAACAAGTCTCCTTAAAGATAGAATCCTGGTTGTCTGAAAACGAAGCTTTCCAGGTATCGTCTTTTCCAGGAGACAACATTCCAAAAATACAGAGACAAAATAACTTGATGGCATCCAATACAAACTGTCAACCTTTTGATGAGCCCATGAAGAGCACCATACAATCAATTAACCTTCCAAAACCTTCGATATACAAATCCAAGGTCCTTGCATGCCAGAAATACATACGGGAAGGCTCATCATACGAGATCTGCCTGACCGATCAGACGATTTTGGGCTTGGAAGGTCCAAATTCTTCATGGCGTATCTATAAGATCCTTCGCTATCGACAGCCTGCACCCTTCGCCTCCTACATACGGCTAGGGACCGCAACATTTATTTCTGCTTCTCCCGAACAATTTCTCAAGTGGGATGAGTATGGAAAATGCGAACTCCGGCCCATGAAAGGTACAGTTAAGAAATCCGAGGCCGTTAAATCTCTGAGCCAAGCGACAGCACTCTTAGACGTGCCCAAAGAGAAAGCAGAAAATCTTATGATTGTAGATTTGGTACGCCATGATTTGCATGGTGTCTGTGGAGCTGGCCAGGTCTCTGTCCCAAGGCTCATGGTCGTTGAGGAATATACTTCAGTCTTTCAGATGATTTCAGTCGTACAGGGCCAAATACCTCAGCCTGCGGTAGCTACAGGGATGCCCATCGCTAACGATAATAAGGTAGACAAGTCTCTAGCTAGATATACCGGACTCGATGTTCTAGCAGCATCTTTGCCCCCTGGTAGTATGACTGGTGCGCCTAAAAAGAGAAGCTGCGAGATTCTCCAGCAAATAGAAGGCCAAAATCGCAGCCTTTATAGTGGTGTTGTAGGATATATAGACGTTCGTGGTCGTGGTGACTGGAGCGTTAATATTCGATGCCTTTTCAGATGGGATGATGATATACAGACTAGCGAATCCGGTCAACTTACAGAGATATATCGTGTTGGAGCCGGTGGGGCTGTAACTGCGCTCAGCACTACTGACGGGGAAATGGAAGAGATGCTCACAAAGCTTAACACTACGCTGGGAATCTTTAAGGAATATAAGCCAGACTTATGAAATTAAAAGGTGACAACAGAGTTACAAGGCTTAAAATTTAGACCTGGCATGCATTATTGCTCTCATATAGAGATATGTTCCAGGAATTCACAGACAATGACAATTTGGTTTTTGTCATGAGTTTTAGTTAATTCATCTGGTTTCACTATTCGCTTATCTAGTGTATGGCATAGCTCAGGAAAACGAACGGGCATCGAGCTGGATTACTGAATTTTGCCCGAAATCGCTCAAATTAATGAGGATTTATAAAATCATTAAGTTTACGAAATAATGCCTAGAATTTAGACTATCTCGTCTAGGGCGTATACAAAGCTAAAATTCAGAGTCCTCTTGGAAAAACATTCCAAACGTGATAATCGTTCCGTATATAAGAATTCCACCGATCATTGACATAATTGCAGCGTACCACCGAATTATATCCGAATGTGCCAGCAGCGCAGGAAGAGCTAAGTAGCAGGTTAGTAACAAGCACCTCATTAGACGGTATGCATGAGAGTCGAGCTGATCCGTAGTATCTAAGTTCTAGTAGTAGATAGGGGAAAGGCTTGGTTGAATGTTAGTGGACGTACCAATACCCATTAGCACAAGAAATCCAGTACAAAATCTGCCGAGATCTATAATTGCACTTCCGCTGCCTTCGCTGACAAAATCATCTGGGTTGGCGCATCGACTACATATCCAGTTTGGGAGAGGAGCGAGTATGTAGGTGGCCACGACAAGAAGTGGGAGGTATTGGTGAAAGAGAGCGCATGAGAGAATAACTAGTAGAAATCCAATGGCCAGAACCTGAAAGGCTAAGTTAGAATCAAAAGGTAAATTGAGTTCTGTTTGACGAGAAAACTCACAAAGGACAGCGATATGATGGTCTTAAGGCCTGCTGTCATCTTTATCGTATAACTAGAATTTGTGACCGTACATTTAAGTATCTTGACGAATGTGAGAGACGTATTGTTGCGTCTTTGTGTATTAAATTGTTAATATTTGAATGATTACAAGCGTATAACGGATATAAGTTGGTTTGACCACGTATGATCAGTGATAGAAGCTGGCTCTCTTCCATTGCCCGCGAGCGCGTCAATCGCGGCTCTTTACCTGAACCCTTGTTGTGTCACTGTTAAGCCAAGCTCTTCTAGCCTGCTAACCGCAGGCTTGATCCACCCGACATAGCACGGCAGAGCTTTATTTCCACCTCACTCGGTAATTATCAATTCGATTTATCGCGCTGGGAGCCAACAAAATGTTTAGAAATAATTACGATAACGACTCTGTCACGTTGTAAGTTGGGGAGCCACTGGTTCGGCGGGCAAAGGGCTAATACACATGGGCATCAGCTCGCCTCAGGGTCGAATATTTCAAGTCGAATATGCAAGTGAAGCAGTCAAGCAAGGGAGCGTCGTCGTAGGAATAGTTAGCAAGACACATGCCGTCCTCGTGGCCCTGAAGGTACTGAAACGAGCTGTCTTGAGCAATGAACCCTTGATTTACTAAGATTTGTTCGCCAGCGTAATGCCGAAGAACTCTCCTCATACCAAAAAAAGGTTATCGCTATCGATGAACATCTCGGCCTCGCCCTAGCAGGACTCGCATCTGACGCACGCGTTCTCTCAAATTTCATGAAGCAACAGTCCATATCTTCCCGCCTAGCATATGGTCGTGCAATCCCTATCGGTCGTCTTGTTTCCGCCATTGGTGATCGTGCCCAGGAGAATACGCAACACTACGGTAAGCGCCCGTATGGTGTTGGACTCTTAGTAGCCGGCGTTGACGAGACGGGACCACATCTTTTTGAGTTTCAACCCAGTGGCATGACACATGAAATGGTTGCATGTGCCATCGGCGCTAGAAGTCAAATGGCCAGGACATACTTGGAACGTAATGTGGAAAAATTTACCGATTGCAGTAGGGAAGATCTGGTGAAGCATGGGTTGCTAGCCCTCAAAGAAAGCTTGGCTCAAGACAAAGAGCTAGCGATTGAAAATACAAGTGTTGGAGTTGTAGGCGTAGGATCTGGCTCAAAGGGGGCTAAGATAGAGGGCTTCAAACTGTACGACGGAATCGAAGTAAAGCAGTGGATTGATATGGTGACAGATGAAAAAGAAGTTACTAGTGCTGTAGAGGGTATGGAGCTTGACTCGTAAAATTAAAATAAATAAGATGAGGAAAGCTTTACACCAAACGCTATCAAGATGTTTGGGCGTCACCCGGTCGTATATAATACGGCTCTGTGCCTCTGACGCCAATTGGCTCCTAATTACTAGACTAATGAAGAAAGTCCAGTCATTTCCTCTAAGCTAGCTCCCACCGATGAGTTTCTGCAGATATCCCGAGGTCGGCCTGCACGTAAATTCTTTCAGCGGCGCTCTATCTGAGCAAGGCAAGGTGACAGGGATACGACTGATGTATTTTGATTCGTTAAAAACTTACTCCGCACGAGCAGGAGCACTGCTAACACCGAAGAGTGCAAATGGGGACACCATATAGAGTTTTCTTCTCACATCCAAGCAAGGAAATTGATGCGTCGAACACAGTTGCGGTCGGATGAGCTGCCTATTGCAACCGAGAGGACTTTCTCTTAGTCATTTGATGCGAATACACCTATCCAACTATGACACATGATCAGTGATTTATATATATGTTGGCTGCCTCATTTGACCTTAGAATCATCCATACTGTGGAATTCCATCACAAAGTTCATTTCCAGGCATGTTGCTTTCAAATAGAGTTGACCATCCTCCCCAAGTACCTACCAAGGGAAAGTTTCGAAACTTTTGATTATTTAAGTATACCTTTGTTGTTATTATAGACCAGCACCATCGAAGTGTGATCGAGTCCTGCCAGACTCAATCGAGCGATCTCCTATTCCAAGTAGCATAGTCGTCTAAACTAACCACGTTTTACTTGGAAGACAGGCGCGTAGATGTACCACTGCCCCATCCAGCCATAGATATATTATAATGCCGTCTGAAATCTTGCACACCAGATCGTGGTACACAATGTTCATTTGAATCAAAAGCTACCAAACCTTGGACGCAAATGATATAGTGCCAGTCCTAAGCTTGATCACTTCCATCTATAGACCAAACTTTCGAGCTCTCGAAGATCTGTCAAGCTAGATCTTTCAGCCACCATGCAAGTTCTCTAGAGAGCATTCGAAGTATTAGCATTTTTTACTCGAAGACTTGGCAAAGCAAATATCCGTGTCACAAAGAGTACGCTCATCATGTGAGGGGTATGATTTTTAGCATTTTTATTGTTGGAGCGACTTGGTGCAGGATCTGCCTCGACGGGTGCGCATAGTAGATGCGAATAGAGCCTTGACACCTGTACGCAGTGTCCTCTACGAACCTGGGAGTGAAATATTCACCCAGAGCCAATTTCAGTCAAATTTCGCAATATCAAAGAAGTTGGCCCACGAGGCAATGATTCAAATTACTCCACCACATCGTTTTTTTGCTCCCATCGAGTTTGACCCCTACCTAAGTCTCATCAAGCCTACAAGTACGACCAAGTTTATCCTTATCCCAGTTATCACACCTCTCGCCGACCTTCTCTGGCCTCATCTGGTTGTCAAATACACGCCAACGCCAATATTTGAACCCGACGGAGGAAGCAAAGCGTGGCGCACAAATCTGGAAGACTGTTTTTTTGAGATGAACGTGAGAGGGACCAGGACAAGTTCATAAGATGATGCAAAGGATGGATACATTCTCGACGGGTGTGAAATTTCGAATTTTGGCAAAGAGATTTTACAAATTGAGCTTTGTGTGCGCTAGGACTTCGGTTGCGAGAGTGCAGGCGACACTACAAACATCACCATGGCTGGATGGTGCGGTGGTACATCGTCTTGGTCGGTCTGCCAAGTAGAGTCTGGATAGCCTGGTCACATATCCCACTTGAGACAATAGATCGCTGGTTCAAATCCGGTAAAACAAAATTACATTTCTCACGGCGCTGGTATACATGGATGACGAAGGTATGCTTGGATAACCAAAGGTTTTGAAACGTCTCTTTGGTGGTTACTTACAGAGGAGGGTCGACTGTTTGTGTAAGCGAACATACCTCATAGTGGTATTTGCGAATGAAATCCAGAGTATGAGTGTCTCTAACGTCAAAAGAGTCATCCAACATGTATATATAGAAGCGGTCATGTGTCATAGCTAGATAGCTGAATACACATTAAATGATTTAAAAAAAAAGAACAGAGCCTTGAGTAACTAACTTGCTAGCCTACCTCTTCACCAAGATAGTTCGATGTACACTCAGCATTAGGAGAATGGTAATCTCACAGGCTTAGAAGCTACTTTGAATGGGTGCTCGATCTTCTGCCCCTACATCTTGACATTCTAACCGCGGTAAACGAATAATTCCAAGCTATCTTGGATCCCCCAGACCGAACTTCAAATTAAACCCAAGAGCAGCTACGTTTTATGGCAAAATTCCTGATTGTCATGGGAATGCCATGATTAAGAGTAAAGGAGAGTCGCTAGCTTAGCTGACTTCAAGGTCTCTTTTAACCAGAAATTTAGTTTGGAGTCAATCTACACAGATTGAATGGTACTTAACTTATCCATTAGCTGGATTACTTGTAGCCTCCTCGGGCCCTAGTCGTTAGGGGTATTTGTATCACTTGATAGTCCACTACATCTCATCAAGAGGAGAAAATTGGAAAAGACGGTTATTTCCCACTGGCGATGCAGAAGTGGCGGGTCTGATTTTATACGCGCATATCTCCTGACATTCTCCCTAGAATACTACACGTAAAACTGTCTCAAGGATTCGCGGGGTGAAAATGCACGGCATGAGATCTAAGTTAGGTTGTAATTACTACAAAGGTTGGGATTATTCCTGTATATCTGCACTCAGAGTCCGATATGGCAGGCATGGCTCACTAGATTCTTCTCTATGCTTGTGCTAGATTCTTGAGATCATTGGTCCTCCTCCATAAGAGGTCTATGTAGATACTATATACATCTTGAAAGTGTTCTCATAACTACTACCAATTCCAAAAATAGACTGACTATTAAGATTTTCGATACGAAGTGTTCAGATCTCCATTCCATACACGCTTCTAAAATTGGCTGTCTACATTCCGTTTGCTGGTACAACAGCTTCTTTTTTTTTTTTTTGTATCAGATTTTAATTGCGTATGCAGCTATCTAGATATGACATAATATCAAAGAAAAGTTCAGAAAAGATGACTCAATTTACAAGAGGAGCACTCATGCCTCAGATTTCATTTGCAAGTACCACTGCGAAGTTATGGTAGCTTTTTCTTCACCCCAAGTCAATCCTCATCCGTGAATGTCCACTGAGGGGAACGTCTCAAAACCCCTGAGTTATCCAGACATGCCTCCGTCATCCATCAACTTTTCTCCACGCGAAATATGATCTGAGATGTCTCCTTCCCAAGTGGATACAACGGGGTTCACTTGCTTTAATGCCTCAGCCTCAAAAGTGCAAAAAACAAGTGTTGTAATTCTATCTATCCTCTCCTGTTTTCTCTCCTCAAGCACTATTATCTAAATTGCAAAACGGTGATTAGCGCCCGATCTAAGTCGCGTGATAAATTGACCAATGCTGATTGAAGTCTATGTGGAAGACAAGCCTTTTATCCCTACACCGGAGGGCGAAGACTGAAAACCTGTCAGTGGTGCCCTCTACAAACCTGGAAGTGAACTGTTCTCCCAGACCCGAGATTCAGTCAAGACAAAGGGTGAATTTGGGAGTTTTCGTCGAGTTGGTGATCGGGAGGAGTGGTGTTGGCTCATTTTTGGTCGAAAACCCGACTTGCAGAGATTTCACGACTGCACAACTCAACGAAATCAACCATCTACACCCCAGATACGAACCGTAGACAGATTGTAACCTGTCTGATGTTCGTATCACAACAACCGACACCTTCAAAATCTGTTTTCTCTTTATCTGGAAAATCATTCCTAGCCAAACTCATCTCGCGGCCCTCTCTACAATAATCCCACCACCTACCGAAGCAATCCCATACATCCAAAAGCCAAATCGCCAACCAAGAAGCAAGGGGATGTCCGATCCTCCGCAACTGCCAGTCACTGTGAGGGTACGGTCGAAATGCCGGCCTTAGATGCATCCTCACCTCGGCCAAGAACACCAACAACTCGACCTGCGACAAATCGCCATCGTCGAAATACGTACGAAGTTTCGCCAGCACACTAACCAGAGCATTCGACAAAGGCTGGGGCACCGGTGCCTCGGTCTTGAGCTCTCAGTTGCGTTTTTGACCTCCACAGTTAGGGGTACGGCAGCGACGGGGCAAGGCCGGAGTGGTGGACATTCTGCAAAGTTTCTGGGATGACGAGATCAGCTAAAGGATAGAGGGATGGTACATGAAGGAACAAAAGGGAATACAAACTGAGAAGGCCTTGGTGGGCGACAGGATGAGGCCTCCAGTGAAGAAAATGACCCCTGGATGAGATGCGGAGATGCTGGGATGAGCCAAAGCTGGGTCTAAATTTAAGGGAAAAGTTACAGATCCCGAAGATGTCAAGGGCTCGGGCGCGTGGTGGTCGAGGCTGAGGAGGAATTTGCGCTTCGGAGCGTTAAAAGAGGGTACTCTGGACGGTTGGGCTTGACATGATTCAACACATGGGTGAAGTCTGAGGTGGTCTGGTCATGCAGGTGGGACGAGGTAGATGTACTTATTGGTAGTTAACCTGATCCAGCCCGACCTCACCCGTGCTCTAGCTCCAGTAGGAATGCTACGGGAATCACTTTACCCAGCACGTTAATGAACAAAACAAACCCAAAACAAACCAAATTAAATGTATTTGGTATAGCATATTCGGATGAATCAAGGTTTTTTAGTTTTCCACGATTTGGACATGCAAGGTTAAGATTGAGGTACAAGCTCCCGAACATCTTTGCCGGTACTACAGCAAGCGATCCATCATACGGATGTGATGAATAATATCTTTATTTTCAAATTTCCTGATATTATGTCACGCCAATCGGATACGGGGCTTCTGTCTCCCGCGTTGAAGATCGTAAAAACGATGCGCAATTCATTCAGACCTCTTAATCGAGAGACTTTGTTCATTAATCCTTGCTGCCTTATTTGTCCTGGTATCGAAACTAGCTATAGATATTCACGCAATCCACGCCAATC